GCTTTTAGCATTGAAGGACATACTAGTATTTTGATATTGTGGGATTAACCCCCACAAAAAGTACTACCCTATAGATAACTATACTTTAATATACTTAACTATAGATATAACTCTGACACTATGAAAACTGTGATTTACTATGGTGAATACTTTAATTTACTATATATAGTTAACACTTTGACTTACTATGGTGAACATTTTGATTTACCATACTGATAACTAGGAAAACTTTTATTTACTATGGTAAAAACTTTGATGTACTAGTGATAACTTTGAAAACTATAATATTTTTTGTTAGGGAAAATCTGCGACGTAAAGATCGACTCTTTATTCTTTGACTCTAAACCAAACGGTCTAACCAATGCGCTACACGTACGTCGGAAAAGTTTTCTATTTCAAAAAAATATTACAAAGAAGGAAATTTTATTATGCACTATGAGAGGTATAATGACCTGGTATAGTGATAATTTGTGGAAATGAGGCACAACGAATAAATAAACAAAGAAGGCAACAACCTGATTCCTTCCCAATTACAAGTCAGAAGAAAGATGCTTCAAATTGTATCAACCAATATCAGTAAAACTTGGTACTTACTTGTAACAGCGCCTGCAACATTGACTGCGAGACTACCTAAGCGTATAGTTGTTGTTACTCCTAAAACTGTAAAAGAAAATTTAATTATAGCAAAAGTATTTTTTAAAAATTGTATAAATTTTAATGTTCATTTATGCAAAATTTGATTTATTGCAAAAGCATTTTTTGCATTTTATTTAATGCTCATTCAGAAAACATATGGTGACCCCATGGCCATTAATCATCAATAATATTCAAAATTTAAATAAAAACAACTTACAAAATACGGATCCCAAACCTCTCTTTGATATTGCGTGGGTGTGGGGCTTAATTTTTGCGGCATCCAAATCTAAACAAAATCATTTACATAAACAAAATATTTTGATGTCTCTGAATGTATTTTTCAAAGAACTGCATGGGAAAATAATTCAATTTATAATGACAAGCATACCTTTCAACAGCGGTTTTAGTATTTCGGACTTCTCAAGTTCAAAATTAGCTAGTCTTTCACCTGATACAAAAGAAAAAAAATGACTGAGTGATACGAGTTTCTTTTTATTTTATTTTTTCCCTTTCTCCCCCACCCATTTTTTAAAGATATCTTCAGAAAAAATATAAACAAAGTAAAAATAATTATATGAATTCGTTTCTACTTTATTTTTATTTATTTTTTTGTTTGAATTTATTTATCCTTTTTAGCATAACAACGTTGCTCTTTTAAATTTGAATTACTTACCGAAACTCAACTGCAGCAGGAAAAGTATCGACAGCGCATACAGAATAAAAACTCTCATTTCTGAAAATAATACCTGCATTTATAATTTTTTTTTTAAATTAATCTTAAAAAGGGATTTTTAAATTGATGTAAAATAAATGGATCTTAAAGTTTGCTTTTTAAACTTTAATTTGCTTAAGCAATTATCAACAGTAATTGTTACTTACTAAAAATATTGTTTCTGGCTGCCGTTCGCCTGTCTTGTTATTTATTGACAGCATTACCCTCTATATATACATGTATAAACACGATCAAGTGATCTCATAAAAAGTTAATGAGGTACTTCAAGGAAAACGTCATTGTTAGTCGGGAAAACCGAATTAAGGCATAAACTTGAACATCCTTATTCTCACTTTCTTGGGGACATTCGGGTTATTCAGTAAAAATTAGTTTTAAATTGTTGCTTAATGTTCAGCGTCAGAAAACCTCTGAAATGTTTATAAACATTACATAACCGCCTACGATTTTAATTCTGCTAGCACCGTGTAATTTATGCTCAATCAATTTAAAACAAACGTTGAATGACAAATGAGTATTGATTGTTTGTTAAAAATTGACACAGAATTTTTTTTAGCGTAAACTAGTTTATTTTTCAAATAAAATATACTTTTCCATTATGAAATCACAACCTTTTTTTATAATTTCTAAGTAACTAAATTCAGTACAGACTTTTTTCCGCAATCGCTCGAACGCTACGAACAAACCGATTGAACAAAATACTAGTAATTGATTACTGAATGTATAAGAAAAAAATGTTTCTCGTTTTTGTGAATCTTGCAGGATAACCTCCGAGGTCGAAATATGTTTTTTTCTTTTTTTCAAAGCCGAAAGATATTTATTATTGGAGAAATATGGCCGCAAATTTCTCCAATTTCGGATAATAATATACTTGTAACTGCGCCTGCAACATTGACTACGAAACTACTATAACAATATAATAATTCGGACTATAATTTTTGTAGAATATAAAATATATAATTTCAACATTAAAGAAAATGTTATCACCTGATTACATGTAATTAAAGTACTCTGAATATGAAATTTTCAAAAATAAATATTTTTGTTCAAAATTCAGAAATATTAATTGTGAATGCTTTTAGAGGTCAAATGATATTTTGAACAATTTTCTTTTTATTCTATGTATCAAAAGTATCACATCACACCGTATTACATGTGTATACATGTATCTATTTATTCCCACACCTTTCTTTTTCTCTAAAGGTAGATTTCTAGGTCTGTTTTTTATGTTAATTTGCTTGATAATCAGTAATTTCACTTTTTCAAACGTCATTTTTTGAATTGTTTGTATTTATCGTAAAATGAAATCCAGGTAAAAACGTGACCTTATTTGCACACTACTCAAAACAATTCTGATTCAGCAAATCTTTAATGGCCCCTCGATTGACGTCTTAGAGAGGAAATCCTGCTACAAAAAGGGTGTGTTGTTTGTGGTCATCTTATTTACCCCTGATTACTAAATGAAAAATTGGGATTTCCATCAAAGTTTTAAAAGTTTCCGTTAATAAATGGATCATAACAGATTCATTCCTATATTTATAAAGACATGACTTAGATTTATTTTGTTATTTTTAAGATTTATAAGTATATCGCAGCACTGTTAAGGTTTACTATCTATGAGAAATCAACGGAAAATAGAAGTGCAAAAACAGGTATTGTTTTTAAAACAGAATTTATTTTTATTCAGCCGTTTTATTATCACAGAACTTAAATACTTATGGAAATAGCATAGTATAACCTACTCTGTACTGTATGAAGTTTGGTCCCATTGATGGACAGTCACGTGATGAATGCATAGTACATGTACTGAATGTACAGTGTAGGCCATTTACAAATTTCAATATCGCAAGGGCATACCCTATTTGAAATTAAAAATTCAAGCTATTACTTGTTTCTGTATACTTTGTACTTTCTGGAAAGTGCTGCTGCTTTGAATAGAATTCGCGTTTTAATAGTTAAAATTTTAAGTAAATAGGCCCATGTCGCAATATGTTTGACTTTTACCAAATATTTTGTATACTTATAAAGTCACCCTCTCGATATAAAGAAAGCAGCAGCACTTTTCAAGTAAAGGAACATATCCTTTATTTATAATCAAAAAATGGTTAAGATTTATTTAGTCATAGACCTAAATGGAAAATTTAGGTCTATGATCGGAAGTACAGCTTCGATTTTCTATACATCACGGTGAGGGCGCTGCGAGCGCAGGGACATATTTTCCCGCCAAAGCGAGTCGGCGATCCCTTCAATTTAGGTCTATGATTTAGTGTATGCACTTGCGAAAGAACGATTTAATGAGGCACCTCGTTGTAAAATATACCTAAACTGAAAAAAAAAACACGACAAAATTATTCAAATACATAAATGAATAATCACACTGAACAAAGGATATACATTGGTATTAAGAGCCTATTTAAAACCAGTTAATAACATTCTGTTTTATAATAAAACGAATTTTTCGTTGTTAAGAAATTCCTCAACTGCCATGAAATACGTCATTTTTACCAAAAGGACGTCATGATTGACAAGTTCATCGAGATCAGTGATCTTTTTATAACAGCAACTTTTTTAAATGCGTTCATAAGTTTTATTGTTGTTTATTATGCTAATGCAATTTAAAGTTGCAAATTATTTCATTTTCTGGTATTATAAGGAATACTTAAGGTATACCTTTACTCAGATGACTAAAAAATTCCACTGATGAGAACGAAAAACCACCTATTGCACATTGCACACCTATAATTCTTGTGTTAAATTTTGATTTCAAATAATTAGGTCAATGACCTACTTTTCATGCTAGTGGCCCCTTAGTATTTCTCGGAAAATACGTTGATTTTTCACACTATGACCAATTTTTTCTTCACTCACAAAATATTACAAGCAACAAAACTCTTTAAATATTGAAATATTATTGCAATGAAACTCTGTTGCTTCATATAAAGAAACGATTAGAGTTAAGGTCAAAAACTTTTAAATTATTACAGTCCGAATTTCCTCTGTCATATTTGTATTTTTCCCCATTTTTAATCGAATATTAAAAAAATATGACTGATGAGAACTCTAAATTATTTATAGCCTCATATTACCTTTGTTGCCGTAATTCTCATGGTATTAACATTATATGGGGTCAATGATCAAATTATTGAGATATATTGCCTGAAATGGTTTTTGCTCATATTTCTGAATTTCTTTATTTAATAGCATTTAATTATTTGAAATAATCTATTAGCTTTAAGACATATAAAATTTGAAAAATGATGTCTGAAGAAACATACAATCTTTACATTTTGAAAATTATTGCAAGAAATAAAAGATTTTGAGAAAAATGAAAAAATAAAAATTTAGTCCGAATTCCCTCTGCATTACTATACATTGACTTTTGTTCCTGTATATTTTCTTCAAATAATAAAATATGAAATTTTAAAATTGATATTGTGCTAAAACTTAGTGATTTTATCCATTTAAAACAATTTTTGATTTAATATATTATACTTTATGAAATTTCCTTTCTGTTTTCTGAAACCTGAGTAAACATCATCCTTAAAAGTCATATTTTAGTGTGACGTCACAGTTAACTTTTCCCGTATAAATTAGGCACCGCCTCCTTATTTCAGCCTTAACAAAGTCTTAACTTGTTTAGGTATATCCATTTCACGTTGCACAAAATAAGACGAACTATGGTATTTACTTATTAGTAATTTTAAATAGCAGTGAAGAAACCCTTAATGGTAAGTTGAATTGTCATGTTGTCATGTTTTATAAGACTGTTGTAACAACCGCAAATAATCTAAATCGCCGCTAAATAGAAATAACATTAAACGTTAAATGTTACATCTTGCCATAAATAATAATATTGAAATATTAATTAACTTATCAAATGCTAATGTTAAATCATCGCTTATTGCAAGAATTATTAAGGTTAAACGTTGCATTGCAACGTTTTAAGATAATTTCTATCAATAAGAGGCGTTGTTACAGCACATCAATCAGATGCATTTAAAGTTAAATTGCATGTACATATTAAATGTGCTTTTTTCAGTTTTTTCATCTAATCATGCAGTGTTACATGTATACATAAATATATTTCATAATGTATTTCAATTTTCAAGTTTTTTTTCTGAAAAGGATTTCTATAAGGATGTATATTTTAAATAAACTGTAAGATCACATAAAGCGTAAAAAATGAAAATGTCTTTTTGACATTATTTTTACCGAATAAAAATCATCAGTATGCTTATTTGAGGAGGCTGGGGGTCAACAAATTAACAAATATTAACCACCAGATATAACTTAAATTTTTAGATATGATATCTTTAGCTGTAAACTATCATTTGACAAAGAAAAATTTCATACATATTAGTTTTAAAATTTGATCATTTTTGTATATCTTTATATAGAGCTCTTCCTCTAAGGGAGATAGAAATAGTCTAAAAATGGCCACGACCACCCAGCCTCTTTAAAAAGTTGTGGTGTAAATTTTTATTTAGTGAAATAAATTCATCTTATCTAAATTTTCAGTGGTCCTCAATTTATTTGAAAAAAAAATTATAATTCTTTGCTGTAGATCTTGTACATACAAAAAAATCTCTGTTTCAATTCGTTTCTTGTCAAATTATGTCTTAAAACTTAAATATGTTCCAATATTGAATATAATATTCTGCATAAGTATGACTTGTATATAATATTTAGAAAAAGAAAATGGCAAGTCGAACAACATATTAAACTAAACCCCGATGTTTCACTTATCTCGTTTTCAGGTGTAAAACAATGAATTACAAGGCATTTTGGCTCACGATGTCGGTTTTTCTTTTTTACCAAGATCTAGCAGGTAAGAGTACCTAAATATTGTATTAAAGAGGTTCTGCATCAAGTTATCAGAAACTGTAATCGTACGGAAAATTAATGTCCAACGGATTCACGCCCAAGGGTGGCGTTTATAAAATTTGACTTGTGGATGATACATGATATACACAACTCTTAACCGTTGAGAGTTAGGGTTGTGTATATCATGTATCATCCACAAGTCAAATTTTATATTCAGTATTTACCGCTTGCGTTATATATCAAATCAAAGCTTATTAAAAATCATTTAAGAAACATATAATTTTAAGATTTTCTGGTCAAGCATTGTTACTGAAAATAGATTACGAAATGTAACGATATTGCTCTTGTGAATACCTCTCTTCTTAATCTCTCTCTTCTTTTTTTCCTTTTACCCAGAATCATGATTATTAGAATTTAATTGCATCAAACACCTAAATTGACCTGAATAATTGGATATCTAGAGTCTATTTCCTCTATAAATTAATTAACGTTACGTCAACGTTATGTTTATAAAACGAGCTCAACAAATCCAATCAATGAAAATGACTGCAAATTGATTTAAAACCAGTAAAAATACTAAATTATATCAATTGATGAGGATTTGATAAAATCTAGAAAATGATGCTTTTTTAACTCACCTGAGCCGAAAGCTCAAGTGAGCTTTTCTAATCACATTTTATCCGGCGTCCGTCTGTAAACTTTTCACTTTTTCGACTTCTTCTCAAGAACCGCTGGGTCAATTTCAACCAAACTTGCCACAAAGCATCCTTGGGTGAAGGGGATTCAAGTTTGTTTAAATGAAGGGCCATGCCCTCATTCAAGGGAAGACAATTGGGAATTTAGGAAAATTTGGTGGGATGTTTTAAAAATCTTCTTCTCAAGAACTACTGTGCCAGGAAAGATTAAACTTATGGGGAAGCATCCTCAGGTAAAGTAATTTCCATTTTCTTCAAATCATGACCCCCTGGGTTAGGGCGGGTCCAAAATGGCCGATCAAAGATTTACATAGTAATATAAAGAAAAAATCTTCAAAATTCTTTTTCTCAAGAATAGCAATGCCATAATTGATCATATTTATATGGAAGCATCCTCAAGTAGTGTAGATTAAAGTTTGTTCAAATCATGACCCCCGGGGGTAGGGCGGGGCCACAATGGTCGACCAAAGTTTTACATAGAAATATATAGGAAAATTCTTTAAAAATCTTCTCAAGAATGTCAAAGCCATAATTCATTATATTTATATGGAAGCATCATCAGGTATTGTAGATTCAAGTTTGTGTCAAATCACTAGGAAAATTATTTAAAAATCTTCTTCTCAAGAATAGCAAAGCCATAATTCATCATATTTATATGGAAGCAGCCTCAGGTAGTGTAGATTCTAGTTTGTTAAAATCATGACCCCCGGGGGTAGGGTGGGCCATAATGGCTGACCAAAGTTTTACATAGAAATATATAGGGTTTTTTTAAAATTCTTTTTAAATCTTTTTTTTTAAATCTTCTTCTCAAGAATAGCAAAGCCATGATTGGTCATAGGACTAGTTTAGGATTTAAACTTTTCAATAATAAACCAATTTCTCCTTTTTCCTAGCCACAGTGCTCAGGTGAGCGATGTGGCCCATGGGCCTCTTTGATGTTCTTTGGCACTTTCTATGACACATGACCTCAGTTTATCAGAAGGACCAGTTTCAATTGCATTTGGATTCGAATCCACATATTTTAGCAACTAAATGAATAAACGACTAAATGATTATATTTTATAAACATTACTTAAAGAGGCTGGGGGTGGCAGCCATTTTCAGACTATTTCGATCTCCTTTAAAAGGAGAGCTCCATATAAAGATATACAAAAATGATCAAATTTTAAAACTAAAATGTATGAATTTTTTCTTTGCCAAATGATAGTTGACAGCTTAAGATACCGTATCTAAAAAATAAGTTAAATCTGGTGGTTAATTTGTGATTTATTTGTTGACCCGCCAGCCTCCTTAAGTGAGTATTGTGGCCCATGGGTCTTTCATACAAGTATGATACACTGGTATCTTAACAGCTGATTGTGACATTGATGTAGTTGTTATTATCAAAGTATAAGTTTGATTTTTATATCCATCTTCTTCCTTCATAAAACTGTGCTGCCAGTGTTAGAAATCAATTTTTGATAAAGTGGTTAACATTTCTGAAAAGTGCTTTTCACTTATTAGCATAATTTTTACAAGGGTTCAATTTCCTCAACCCCGGCCAATGTTTGAGACTTGGTTAATTTGCATGTTGTCCCTTGCCATTGCAAAAGTTATGGGATATTGAAACTTATTTGTCTGTTCATCTGTCTGTCTGCTGGTCTATCTTAAAAATTTTTAGGCTGATTTAAAAATCTTCTTTTCAAGAACCACTGTGGCTGGAAAGATGAAACTTATATGGAAGCATCCTTAGGTAGTGTAGATTCAAGTTTGTTCAAATCATGACCCCCGGGGGTAGGGCGGAGCCACAAGGGATGATCAAATTTTTACATAGAAATATATAGGAAAAATCTTCGTTCAGGTTACAGTGTATGTGTAAATTAGTAATTCCTGGCAGGGCCCTAGAGCTTGTGTCTTCGAGGTCGAAGACTGTTTAAGGAGGGAGGAATGTAGAAGTTCAGGTTTCACGGACCGTGGATATCGGCCTGGATACCTGACTAGTGATGCAGGAGTCCCGGGTTCGATTCCCGGTCCAGCCATGTTTCCTTCGTGCATTTCTCCTTTCCTACTACAATATCTTATCAAATAGTGTCATATTTTCGCTTACTCACCAGAAGAATTACAGAAAATACTTTACGCGTTACACCGCTAAAACCTGAATTTTAATCCTCAGGAAAGAAGGAAGAATCAATTTCCTATGGACATAAAAAAATGAAATTTTGAAAATTGTCTACTCTTTTATTTACCTAGGATTCTATTTAAAGTATAATAGTAAATTCAATGTTACGCTAAAGGAAATTAGCTGAACAAGAAGCTCTATTCATTTAAACAGCATTTCAATTCAACATCGATACCTGATGTCAACTCTTTGATAAATAAGTTGGAAGTTCTTTTGCATGGAAGCTGAGTTACTGGATTAAGAGAGTTAAATATGCTTTTTAAAATTAGTATAGTTTTGTATACTGTCACATAGCGTAATAAATTAACATAAAATGTCTTGGGATGCTAGTACGAGTATATGTCATTTTTCAAAATACACCCATGAAAATCTTTACTCACCTTCGTATGGCAGGAAATTTAACGCTTTTTCAGTTTGCATTTTATCTTTTAACTTCGCTTTTCCATTGAGAGCAATAATATCTTTATACTCCTTCTGTTTTTTTCTCTATTGATTTAAAGTAATAAGCTTTTGTATATAAATAATATATACATGTGTAATGATCATATTCTTTATCCTACATCATGGTGCTCAACACTTAAAAAATTACTTCACATTCTAGTTGTAGCTACTACTCTGAACAGAAACATTAAATTAGAAGAACAAGAAGAGGAATTAGAAGGTAATATATTTAAGACATACCTACATTTAATATGAAAAACTCAATTGACTAGCTGCTCATTTGTTTGCTTTATCTATTTCATCAAATTGTATGCCTTTTGTAAGTAAAAAAAATTCAAGAAATACAAAAAAGGAAATAATTTAAGAATTTGTCTGTTTTTAATCAAATGACATATGAAGAAAACGAGCAGTGATCATTCTCAAAAATCGATTTAACAAAGACCTCCTAAATCCCACTTATACCCATATCTATATTTCTAAGGAGGAAATTCTTCAAAATCATATTATCAGTTTTGAATATTTTTATAATTTCCAACAACCAGAATGAATTTGTATTACAGTATCTAAATTGGATTCCAAAACTTCATAAAAATCCTTACAAACAAAGATACATAGTGGATTCCTTTAAATGTTCTACTAAGCCTTTCTTTACTCCTCACTAAAAATATTGACAGTAGTGAAAGAAAAACTTCAGGAGCACTGTTCAACAATATATTTGAGAAGTGGATACCTAAAAATTCCAAGGAACTTTTTAAAAATTTTACATCACAAGATTTTACCAAAGTCAACAGCTTAAAGAATTACGACCTTTCAACTTTATATACAACCATTCCTTACGATAAATTAAAATCTAGGCCTCTTGATATTATTGACAGCTACTTTTTCAATAAAAAGGGAACACGTGAGTTTACGTACCTTGTCATTGGTCATTTGCAAAATTATTTTGTTTAAAACATTCTGATTGCACACACACGTACTCTGAAGTTGATATTTAGAAGATGCTTGAGTTTCTGATGGACAAGTCTTCCAATAATCTATTGGAATTCCCATGGGTACCAATTGCACCCTCTTATAAGCAGACCTATTTTTGTATTCATATGGAGCAGAATTTGTCCACAATCTTATACATGAGAAGAAGACATTTAATTACATGTATATTGACGACGTATTGTCAATTAACAATGTTTTTTCCATTCTTATGTCGCTCCGATAAATCCCGATGAGCTTGAAAAAAGTTATACATGTACCACAGGGTCTGGAACATCTCTTTCATATTAAGTTAGTTTACTGAAGACATTAATGGTAATCTAACAACCAAGCTTTATGATAACTTTAACTTTTCAATCTTCAACTTTCCTTACTTATGCAGCAATATACATGTTCTTTCATCACCGGCGAACGGGATTTATATCTCGCAGTTGATTAGATACGCGAAAGCATGTTCTACATATGAACAATTTCTTAGATGAGGTGAATTATTGACAAACAAGCTTCTGAACCAAGAATATCAGCAGTTTTGTTTAAAATCGTCATTTCTTAGGTTCAATGTTCAAAACATTAACCCTTTCAGCAAATACAATTTATAATTAAGTCAAATGCTGACTGACGTTTTAGGCCATTATACATGTATTCATTCTGACTTGTTGTCGGATTTTCCCGTGTTGTCCAATCATGACAATTAAGGAGCTCACGACAGGTATGTCCGGTCAACAGGGGAATGCTCACTCCTCCGTGGCACCTGATCCCACCTCTGATTTCTTGGAGGTCTGTGTTTGCTCTGTTCCATTTTGTATTGTTTAATGTACTTTTGAGCTTGAGTTCTGTTCGTTATCTCCATATACGTATTTCATTTCATAACCTCAAACTGACGTATGTTAAGTCCAGCAGATTATGATAAATCAAAGATCTTTTGTGCACAATCCTCATCTTTGAAGAGCTGGATAAAGTAAGAATTTTGTTGCGAGTTCAAAAATAAAAAGAACTCCAGCTCGTAAGACAGTTAAGTTCTCTTGCATAGGTAGAATTTGTGTTCAGTTAGAAATGATACGCAGCAGAAAACACTAATTAATGAATACATCATGCACATTCATGCACAAATTTAGCTATTATTGAGTGCATATAGAATCTGTCATCAGTTACAAAAAGAAACCAGTTGGAATGGTTTTGAACAGTATAATTATTAAGAATAATATAATTGTCAATAAATTGATAACTTAATAATGAAAATAATTTTGTTTTGATTTTCAGATACAACAGGAAAAAGTTGTGAAAAATGGGAAGAATACGATGGTGTTCAGTGTGTTTGCACACGGTCAAGTGGTAACCACTCACGCTGTGATGGGGAGACTGGAATGGTTTGTGATGACCAAGGGGGACAATATCAGTCGATTTGTCACTTTTCTGACAGAATGTGCCATGGACTTATTTCCTATACAAAAGAAATCAAATCTTGCGGTAAGGAAAAACGTATCATAATAGATATTTTTTTGAAGCCAAAATCTTTAAGAATCATCGACTCAAAAGACAATGTCACTTGTTGATAGTTTTGTTTTTTCTTTTTCTCCCAAACTCTTCAAACCAAATTAATTTTGAAAAAATAAAGATGTAACATTTGATATGGAATTCTAGTGATTGAAATCAATTGCCTTATTTAATTTCATCTCAATTTTATCACTAATTAGGACATTGTAAGTGGTTGATGTTGACCTACAGTGAACCCAGAGTCCCGTCTCAGTCTGTTTTGTATCGAAGAAATGGAGAAAGCAAAGGATACGACACGTACTACAATTCTCTGGAAGGCAATTCAAAAATATTCTTTGAAAAGGAATTGAATGCCTGGGTTATAGGTATGTAAGATAAGTGTTTGATTTATTGTAAAATTTAAAAAACAAAAACAGATATTTTTCTTTTGTCTTTATGTTTTTTTCAGTATTTTTGTATTATTTTTTAAATATTGAATGTCAAGAGTTCGACGTTCACAAGATGAACTGCTTTCTTTTGTCATTCTTGACATACTACTAGTGTTAACCATTGTGGCAGAAGCTTCTTTTATCTTTCATTTTCCCCCAGCTTTCATATTTTATTTCCCCCAGTTTTCATCGTCTCTTTTTCCCTTTGTTTAAACATATCCTCTCTTGCAGGCATTAAAAATAAGACGGGTTCCTTTGTGTCCTTGGTTCAAGAGGGAAAAGCAATGTTTCCTCAAGATAATGCTGGGGGAATGATGGTTGTAAACCAAACGGCAGGCTCTACTGTTGACTTGCAAATCAATCCATATTTTCAGATAAAATGTCTGAAAGGTACATTTTATAGATAAATATTAACATATAACAACTATAGTCATGTGTTACATATATAAGTACACATATTTCAAAAGAATAAAAGGAATTTTGCCATGTCAACTTAACATTTTTTAATAAAAAATGATGATTTGCGTCTGATCAATTTCATTTAATTTTAAAGTCTTCAAGAAATGTATTTTCATTTTACAACTGAATGTATTTTTTCTGTATAGATTCAGATATTGGCAAAATAAGAAAACGCGAGAAGAGATTTATATTGTAAGTATGTTAGAGGAAATTTACCATCTCTATTTTGTTATAATTTCATTTTGTTTGTATTCTAGTCTCTCATTGGTTGATTTCCGAAAAGGAACGCAAATTATTTCTCAATAACCTGGTTTGGTATGGGGACACACCCCCTTGACAACCAGCTGAATCATCTGTATCCATACAATCCCCTCATTTCCAGTCCTTGGGATTCATGGGAAATTCAAGATTTAATAAATGTACCTTTAACTTCAAAAAGTAGCTCGATCTTACCTCCTGTAAACAAACATCGTGGCTGCTAGATCTGTGTATCAGTTATTACCTCCCCTTGTTTCATATCACTTCCGTTACTAGGGATGTATTATTAAGCGGCAAATTTGAACTCATAAAAAGCAACACAATTTTACACCCACAGTTATTTAATTATTTTTAAATTAAATTATAAGGAATGACTCTAATTCTTGGCCAAATTATTTGATTATAACCTGGTTTGGGTCAGTTCACGCTTTTTTATAATCCACTTCGCGGATTATAAAGCGTAAAGTGACCCAAACCAGGTTATAATCGAATAATTTGGCCAAGAATTAGAGTCATTCCTTAAATAACCATATTCATTTTCGAATTAGTACTAGTTACTGAATTATTAACAAGTTTCAGATTGTCAAAGCTTGTACAATAAAAGCATATTTTATTGAGTTGATGATTAGTGGTCATATTGGACAAAGTTGGTAAAAGGCATTTAAAAAATCTAAAATTGTTTTGAGAACACTGGCCATTAATTGCAAGTAGGGTAAGCAATGAAGAAATATTTGAGTCTGAGCAATCGAAATAGATTTAAATTGATGTCAGTCATGATCAAGGCAATCGGGGAAGCTTGTATTATCATTGATGCAGCAGTTGAAATATAAGAAACCAATCACTTTATTTTGTACCAAAATGTATATATACCGGCGAGGTCAAATGGACATTTCATTTCAAATCTGTGACATCTGTCAATCTAATTAAAACCAGACTTTTTAGATCCGTACCGTATACACTCTGCCAAAGAAGATCTTACAAAACCCGGCTAGGGTTCTAGACTTCTGACGCAGAGTGTACGGGCGCGGATCTATGAAGTCTAATTTTTACTATATTGACATTTTTGTGCTTTGTTTTACAGTACACTTATAGCAGTCGTATCAGCAGTGGTGTCCGTCACGGCAGTGGCGACATCTACAACGTTAAAGGTTATACAGGCAAAAAGAGGATGTTTATATTATCCAAGCGTTTGTAAATTAAGGTATTTTTCATTCTCTCAATATAGTTTTTTTGTCAGTCAGAGTTTTAATATCATTGATTTATTTATCGTATTAACCTTGAAATCATGCCTATAGCCGGCTGCAAAGTGGTCATGAATTATAGTTTAAATTTTGTCATGTGCATAACCATTAACATGTTTTAATATATTATTTTATTTTTCAATATATTAAATAATTAATATCATCTTTTCAGATTAGTTTGTAAATATTTTTTTTATAAGATAACAGTTCGAATATTTTGAATGGCTCAAACAAAATTTGTGAATATATAGAAAGTATAGATTATAACCAAAATATTTCAATGATCGTAATTTCAACTCCAAAATTATGCAATTTTCTTGTTTGGTATAGATATTGATACCACATGTAGTAATTTCTTATTCTTGTTTACAGGGATGAAATTAAGAATACTTTAAAACCAGAAGTGGAGAGGTTGAAGCAAACTTTTTTGTCAAAATATGGGGAACCAGAAAAGATAAAAGAAAATGTCGAAAAACACATAGCTTTGATCTCAGATATAAACGAGGCTGTCACCACAATCAAAGAATTGCATATAAAATCCAATTCCAGTCTTTCTGAGCTTACAATACGTCTAGGTTCTCTCACTATGGATGTTTCAGGTGTAGCCAATCTACTTTCTGATTATAATGAATGGCTAAATGGAACAAAATTACAAGCGGCTTTCAGCATCATAGGGCTTGAAATAGAGTTAGCATTCACTCTAGCTACCTTACCCTCAATCATCAGTTCAGCTGCCTCGGCATTAACGGCTGGACTCGCCATTTTTGCAAGCGTTATAGCTATTGGGCTTGCAGTATTTGATATTATCTCTAGCGTGCAGGAGGAAAGACGCATAAAAGATAAACTGTTGCATGCAAAATCAGAATATGTAAGGGCTCGAAGAAATCTGAAAACAGCACATTCACAAATGATTGAATTACAAATGCAATTTTGTGTAAAAGTTATCAGCTATCTTCGACAATTTTCAAATATTGGAAGAAAATACCACAAATTGTTTTCGAATTTATATAATAAAATTGTTTCTATTTACGGTAGAAGGGGGAATTGTGCAGATGAACGTATTTATTCTAAAACAAATAGGAACGTCTTAGGTACGTTATTAAATTATGTGAAACCACTTGCAAAATATCTAGCTGACAATGTTAAGCAACTTAAAGAGAAAATAAAAGAGGTAAAGATAATTACACAGTTTCTTAATGAAATTGCCGATAGTGTTAAAGTTAGAAAAAAGCAACCGTCTAAGATATTTGAAGAACTGAAAGTGTATGGAAGTTATACGTCGATTCCTAAACCCCTCTTTTCGAACTTATTTGAACTCTTAAGATATATAGCAAAAGATATTTTACCAAATACTGATTGTTACTGGGGACATGATCTAAAGCTTTTAAGATCGGGGAAAAGAAAACAATACAATTATTTAAATTCGCCTATTTGCCCTAGTCCTGAAATTAAGGAAACGGTACAGGTTATTGAATCTGGTGTCAAAAACATAACAAATCCATGTCTGATATTTAGACAAGTGAAAGGCAGTGTATTTCGAAGTAAATATTTAGTTCTGCGATTTATCGCAGAACATATAATTCCTACATCAAATTGCTACTGGGGATACAATCTACAAACTATTCGACAGAATCCAAACCCAGTTGAACTTGAAATGGTAAAAATATCCTCACGGCTTTTTACAATGCTTAAGATCTTTTCCATTGCAAAGTTAACGTCAGATACTGTGAAGTATGCAAGGTCCTATTTGTGCTCCAGTTCTTTGATTTGTGGCGTAAATTGGCAATCATTTGTTCTGTGCTCTGTATGGAAAGATTCAGTAGATCCGAAGGTTTTGGATTGCAAAGGAATGTCCCTTTCTGTTCAAGATAAATACTGTGTTCCTCCAAAAGGCAAATTCCAAGAATGCAAGTAAAATTGGCAAACTAAATGGATATGCACTTGATGAATTTTTCAATTGATGAATTTGGGAGAGATATTCTTTTGATACTACGTAATTTATTTATAAGCATTAACCAAACTCGCAAATAAGCATACGTGTATATGTAGTTGTTTTAAGAATGTTAAGTTAAGACAAGTAAATTCCACTTTGAGCATATATTTTTTTCTGTCTTTTTATCTTTTCAATTTTTCGTCAGTTTATACTTGTTTCTAACAATTAAAGAATTATAAAGATACAGACTTGTTTGTATTGCAAATCTAAATGATTGTGTAATTTTTTTCTCGAAAATACATGGAATATGCACAATTTAACTCTGTTTTTATTAGTTATAATGTTTGTACTATCAAGCCTCATAGGCTTACGAGGGTTGTCCCAAAATTCCGTAGACAAGCGTTGTTTTGTAGGAACCGTATGTCATACATTAATGAAACTTCGTATATAGATTAAACCAACACTATCTAATAAATTTATTGACAAATATGGAGTAACTACACAAATGATTCCAATTTAAAAGACACATTTCATTGTTTGGTGTGCAATACTCAAGAGTTGCAATTAAAATTTGGTATATTATATTTAAAATGAAGTAATTACTACCCCGTATTTTTTTTTATGGAAATGAAAATTCTTAATACTGTTCTATTAAACATTTCCCCAAATTTTGGTGTTTATGCTTTAATAAATATGATTTTTATAACGTTTTAAATACTTTTGTTTTGTTATTCAAGTGTTTTGAATTCACTCTTCAAAAATGTACCAGTCATAACGGTTTGGGTAGGAAATCACTGAGTATTTAAAATGATTAAAACGGATGTAATGTAAATATTTTTGAGTTGCATTGATACGAAAACTAAATGTATCGTTTTCAAATTATTATTATTTTACCTGTACATGCATATACTTTGTTTACATATTTTAATGTTTGATCATATATCATAGTAATTAAGATATTTCACATCTATAACTATAACCGTTTTGTTTAATTTAAGAATTAATTCTTGCAAAAATTGAACTGTTGACATTTGTATTTTTTGACGTTGCAGATTGTGTGTAGAGAACGATATCACTTTAAATGTTATTAACGAAAAGTTTTCAAGTTAACATCATAAAATCGTAATTTATCTCAAACGCTTTTCTGAAAATTTTATTAAGATACATTAATTTCTTTAAAAGATATGAGCTCAGTCTACGAAATTTTGGGACAACCCTCGTAGGTGAAGTGATGAAGATAATAAAAGCAAATTCTATGATATTACTTTTGTTTTGTTATTCAATAAATCTGCATGGTATCACATGCGAAATTATATTTTTGGTTATTGATACACTAAATGGAAAATTCCAAAGATGTATTTTTTATGGTTTGAAGTCTTTAAAACTTGCAAAATTAACGTGTGTTAATATTATAACAAAGACTTTATCTCAAATTCAAAACAAACTTAGTCCTCAATTCGGTCGATTCAGATATATCGACTTCCTTTCCTGCTAAATCGATTGTGAAGATTTGGGGGGGGGGGGGGTGAAGTCAATATATTTATGAATCGACCTCATACAAGGACTATATCAGTATAACTAAGGGGCATATTCAACTTATTTGTTCAAAGATCAAAATTTTGAGCTTAACTTGTAGTTTATGTGTAGCATTGCATATGGTCACAGAGATATACAGGTGTAGGTAGGTTCACAGAACGCCATTACATAGCACATTGTACGCGTCCACTATAAAGAAGGCGTGAGCACAAGGATCGGTATAAGAGGAGTTGCGGATAAGAGATGGGTATCCCAAAGTGTAACAGACGGACGGACGGACATACCGTATACCCTCCCAGTTTTCAAGTGGGTGGTATAATTATACCCCCGATTGAAAAGTGGGAGGGTATATAGTAATCGTTATGTCCGTCCGTCCGTCTAGCTGCACGTCCGTCTGTCTATCCGTCCGTTACGTTTCGGGGTACCCATCTCTTATCCGCAAATCCTCTCACACCATTCAATGAAATTTGATGAAACTTTCACAGAATCGTTATTACTTATTGCCATTGTGTTGATCTTACACATAATTTGTGTTTGCCACAACAAATATGGACACTCCCATTACATTCATATTGAAGGCAGGGTACATGCATCATTTAGTGAGCTCATTGCTCACAGTACCTCTAGTTTCTTTTTTATATGCTAATTCTTAGAATGATATCAAACTGATATGCAATTTTTTGTAACATGAAAACCTGTGTGATTGACAACCATCAAATGTTTCTTTTTATTTTAATAGCAGAAATATTACTTATAAAATATCTAAGTCAGAAATCAGTATCACCCAAATGTTTTCAAACATCAAAAGGCCTTTGATTGTGATTATGACGTCATAATACATCACTGTTTTGTTGACAACATAGTCGTGGACGTGCAAATTGTAAGTAGTCGCTTTGATTTAGAATTTTAATGTATTTTAAAGTAAAAGCATTTTTAAAGTGTCTGTAAGGAAAAAATCATTTGTCTCGTGAGTTGTTACGTGTAGCTCTTCATACGCTACGTATAGATCTGTTTACATCTGATTAGTTAAACAATTTTTTGTATTTATAGATTTAGAAAGGACCCACACTGGTAGTTTTCCTTTCATTACTTTTTCTTTTAAATGTTGAACCTTATCATCCTAAATATTTGAAATGGTGAACTTTTCTTGAATTATTATTATACTATATGTACACATTATAATTAAAGAAAAAAGAGTTTTGATTTAGGCCCTAGTGTGCCTATCAAAATGATAAATTCATTAACACATTGTTACGTCATGATTGAGGTCTTTAGCGATGACCTATGACGTCATAGTTTAGTTTTGTTTACAAAAAGCGGCAGAGGTGCAATTTGTGAGTAAATCCTTTTCTGTTACTGAAATGTTGTTTGTGAACGCTTTTTATCTTCATTAACACTTAAATATAGTTTGTCTAACCGGTTGCACTAAATTAAAGTCTAGTGAGAATAAATTTCAGAATTAATACTGTTCGAAGTCTAGATACTTTGATCCGTTTATATATATTTGTACTATGTATATACACGTGGGTATGTTTCTCGAGTTGTAATCTAGGTGAGCGGTTCATTAATTATGCTGATTGTAGTCATTTTCTTCTTATTAACTACGATTAATTTCAACGATATGAAATTTTTACCTAATTTTAAATAGTTTATCGGAAATACATATTTTTCCACATGTATTTATTACCGTTATATGTTTAATTTTCTTATTTAAATGTGTAGTATTTACATGTATACCCTATATAATAATTTTGGCAATTTTTAGTTTTAAAAATCTTACAATATTCTTGTGGAGTATATAAATTCTAAAAACGAATCAGGCAACACTTTTAAAGCTTTATTTTTTTTCCAGACTGCAGTAGAGAGTGAGAAAATGAACATGGAACAGAGACTCGAGGAAATTTTGACTGAACTGGCCTGCAGTTCAGCTGATGTACCGATAAACATGCTCCCCATCCCATTTGTAAGGATCTTATCAGCAGCTCTTACCATTTACTTAAAAAAATATATTAATTTGATTGCGTGTGGGGAGATCAAGTTCCTAGAAACTTAAATATTTTATTAACTATTACAGGACGGAGAATTAATTTTGGACTTCGGGGAAGAAGTTGTGAAAGACCTGGTGAGTATTTTAGACTCTGAATTATGAATTTATTTATTCACTTTTTTTTGGGGGGGGGTGTCAATTCTAAATAAAGTAAAGTCAATGAATAGATCAAAATGCTAGACCCGTGCCTTTTGATAAAAACTTACAAGTATGTACATGTACATCATTTACGTATCAACCATTTTGTGTTCGAGAGTAAAACTATTTTTTATAATCTGAGATAAAGATAGTTGGGGGCAAGTAAAGATGTTTCTGTGAATTTTTATTTTTAGAAATCAAAGAAAGAGATATTAAAGTTTGAAAGAAGTTGGGTCGAGATGGTCGAAGAGGAAGAAGTGCGACAGGTAATGCAGGGCTTGATACATACTTTTTTCAGAAAATACACGAGTACCATTTTTATTTACAAATGAGCACATTTTGAAAGATTATATGATTAAATTTTTCAATATTTTTTATTAGAATTTACGCGTGAAATTTACAATGACAAAGTCTATGCACACCCTTCTCCTTTATAATATGTCAATTAGATAACATTCATAGATTTATGTCTTATTTATTTATTTCATTTATTTATTCAATATTTGTTTATTTTTACAGAAGAACTTATCAAAGATGGAATCAGAATTGAAAGCAATGTCGCCACAAATAAAGCTTAAAGAAAAGATGCAGGAGGAACTAATGGTACGTACTGTGTAGACTTCTTAAAATATGTCAAATGATATTAACTTTTTTCTTTGTAGATTGATAAATACATGTATTCTAATTGTATTACAGAAAGAAGCCCCTAAAAAGATCGTGAAGCTCAGGCAAACATATCTTGCCATAGAAAAATCTAGGAAATTTTGGAAGACAACCCACGAAGAATTAAAGGTAAACTTTGAATAAAAAAAATACATGCTCTTTCACATGTATCTAATCATACTACAGACACGTAGACACGGGCTGGCCCCCCACTTTTTTCCCCAACCTTATCTATACTATAGGAAATGTTGATTGGAAGGTTGATTGCCCCCCATTCCCCCCCCCCCCCCCCCCCACGAAATAGGACTTTCGACTTCGGCAACTTACTTTTTTTTTTTTTGCTTGTCAACTTTTTCAGTTGAGTAAAAAAGAATTTTCTCTGCCCCCCCCCTTTCAAAATCGATGCTACGTGGCTGTACTATACTTTTTTGTATATATGCAATTTAATTTCTATGATTCTTTGATATAGCAAATTAATTTTGTCTTTATTTAATTATATTTATACAGGTAGTTTTGGTTAAAAGGGATCAAGCGAAAATAGAATTCCATCATCAAAAGAAGATCATGTCAGAAGTGTTAAAAGGGGTTGAGGTAAATATGCCAAATGTTACCACCATTGATTGCAATGTTCCAGGAACTGATAAAAATGGGTGGGTGGGGGATTTCATAATTTTTGAAAGGGTATAAAATTTTCAATAAGTTTTAATAAATTTGAATTTTTAGGTAGTGGCATCAAGGGAAATTAAGAAAAGAAGGGAAAGAGAGGAAAGAAGGAATACCATTCAGAGAGCGATGCACCAAGAGTTGATGGTAAACTTTGATGTGTTTTATCCTCAATTTATCTTATGTATTTGCACTTTTTGATTATGTTCTAAATTTAAATGATTTTGTCTTGTTTTGAAAGAGCTGAAGGTATATATCCCGCCAAATATCACTGTTATTGATTGCAATATTGCAAAATCTAGAGTTGGGACTATTCAATTTTTTTTAAAATAACCTTAACTGTTAATAAGTTTTGATAAATTTTCATTTTCAGGTAGTGGCATCAAGAGAACTGAAGATAAGAAATGAGAGAGAAGAGAGAAGGAAGACAACTTGGAAAGCTATTCACAAAGAGCTGATGGTAAGTTTTCATGTGAACTTTTTTTTCTTCTTTTTTTTTCTTTTTGACATCCAAAAATGTGGAGCATAGAGACAAAATTAGAAAATAACATAAAGACGAATTAATGACAAGACAAGAAACAATAAGGTAAAAATCTTATACATCTAAAAGACTGACTACATTATGTTTATAGTTTGGACATGTAAAATTGAAACAAAAAAAAAACAAATTTAAATCTAATATTTCTGCAAAGTACCTTAATGAAGGGATCCATATTTTATAGAAATTCAACAAAGCCACCAAGTATCAAATTATATTATACTTTTTGTATATTTGCTATTAAATTTCTATGATATAAAAAAACAATTTTGTTTTTATTTAATTATATTTATACAGGTAGCTTTGGTTAAAAGGAATCAAGAGAAAATAGAATTCCATCATCAAAAGAAGATTATGTCAGAAATGTTAAAAGAGCTTCAGGTAAATATGCCAAATGTAACTATCATTGGTTGCAATGTTCCAGGAACTGATAAAAATGGGTGGGTGGGGGATTTGATATTTTTTTTAAAAAGTAAACTTATCATCAAGTTGAGGATTTCATAATTTTTTTAAAAAAGTTAACATTTTAATAAGTTTTGAAATATTTTGAATTTCAGGAAGTGGCATCAAGTGAAATTAAGAAAAGAAGTGAAAGAGAGGAAAGGAGGAATACCATTCAGAGAGAGATGCATCAAGAGTTGATGGTAAACTTTGATGTAATTTATTAAATATATTTGTACTTTTTGATAATGCTCTAAATTTTAATAGTTTTGTCTTGTTTTGTCTGTTTTTAATTTTATAATTTTTTTTCTTTAATATAGGCAGTTTTGTCAAAGAAACATGTAGAGAAAGTACAGCATGCAAAACAGAAGGAAACGGTGGATCAGATGTTGAAAGAGCTTAAGGTAAATAAGCCAAATATTTCTATTATTGATTGCAATATTGCAAAAACTAGAGTTGGGACTATTCACAATTCTTAAAATAACCTTAACTATTAATAAGTTTTAATAAATTTTCATTTTCAGGTAGCAGCATCAAGAAATTTGGAGATAAGAAATGAGAGAGAAGAGAGAAGGAAGACAATCTGGAAAGCTATCCACAAAGAGCTGATGGTAAGTCTTCATGTGAACTTCCTTTATTTATATTTTTGGCATCCAAAATGTGGAGTGTTGAGACAAAATGGTTTGAAAAGAGAAGAAAGTTATGCATCTGAAAGACTGACTTAATAGTTTTCATAGTTTTGACATGTAAAATTGAAACACACAAAACAAAATCAAATATATTTCTACAAAGTACATTAATGAAGGCTTCTATAATTTATAGAAATTCAACAAAGGCACCAACCCAGAGGACGAGGAAGAAGATTTATTTGTCCCTAGAAAGCTTTTCATATTCAACGTGGACACATTTAAAACTTCTCCACAGGTAAAATTTTGATATATTAGTGTGTAGAAATCATTTGGAACTTTTTCCTGTGCAAAACAATTCAATGAAAATATGCGTATTATCGACATTCACATGTACGTACTATCTATGGGAGATGATAATTATGCAATGTTCTTTCATATAAATCTATTGTTTGTAAGGAGAGGGGGTCAGAAAACCTTGTGAGCAAAGTTGACACAGCTAAAAATTTGTAAATATTGTTAATATATGTTAAAAGTGCTTGACAAAATAATTTCTTCCTTTCTAGAATGTTGAGACTACACAATGCCACAAGGAAACAGAGATTAAGAAGGGCAAAATTTAAAAAAAATTTCCCCCCTTTTTTTGGGCCCTTTTAATTAAAAATTTTTTGGTTTTTTATTTCCCTTTTTTAAAAAACCAAAAGGGGGGGGCCCCCCGGGGGGGGCCCCCCGGGGGGCCCCCCCCCCTTTTTTTCCCCTTTTTTTTAGGTCCTTTTTTTTTAACCCCTTTTTTTTTTTTTTTTCTTTTAAATTTTTTAAAAAATTTTTAAAAAAAATTTTTTTTAAAAAAAAAAAAATTTTTTTTAAAAAAAGTTTTTTTTTAATTTAAAAAAAAATGAAAACCCAAAAAGGGTTTTTAAAAAATTTTTAAAAAAAAAAATTTAAAAAAAACCAAAAAAATTTTTTAAGGGGTTTTTTTAAAAAAAAAAAATTTGAAAAATTTTAAAAAAAGGGGAAAAACCCATTAAAAGGGGAAATAAAATTTTTTAAATTTTTAACCCCCCCTTTTTCCCCCTTTTTTTTTTTTTTTTTTTTTAAAAAATTTTTTTTTTTTTTTTTTTTTTTTTTTTTTTTTTTTTTTTTTTTAAATTTTTTTTAAAAAAAAAAAAAAAAAAAAAAAAAATTTTTTTTTTTTTTTAAAAAAAATATTTTTTTTGTTTTTTTTAAAAAAAAAAATAATTTTTTTTTTTTTTTTTAAAAAAACCTTTTTTTTAAAAATTTTTTTTTTTTTTTTAAATTTTTTTTTTTTTTTTTTTTTTTTTTTTTTAAAATTTAAAAAAATTTAAAAAAAAAAAAAAAAGTTTTCCCCCCCCGGGTTTTTTTGGGGGGGTTTTTTTTTGCCCTTTTTTTTTCCCCTTTTTTGGTTTTTTTTAAAAATTTTTTTTTTTTTTTTAAAAAAAAATTTTTGGGGTTTAAAAATTTTTTTTTTAAATTTTTTTTCTAAAAAAAATTTTTAAGGGCAAAAAAATTTTTTTTTTTTTAAAAAATTTTTACAACCTTATTATTTTTTTAAAAAAAAAATTAAAAAAAGGGTTTTTTTAAAATTTTAAAAAATTTTTTTTAAAATTTTAAATTTTTTGGGAAATTAAAAACCCTTTTTTTTAAGGGGGTTTTTCCCCCAAAAAAAAAGGAAAAAAATTTTTTAAAACCCCTTTTTCCCAAAAAAATTTTAAAAAATTTTAAAATTAAGGAATTTAAAAAGGGAAAAAAAAAAAGGGGGTTTTTAAAAAAAACAAAAATTTAAAAAATTTTTTTTAAAAAAAAATTTTAAAAAATTTTTAAAAAAGGGTTAAAAAACCCCCCCCCAAAAAAATTTTTTTCCCCCGTTTTGTTTGGGAAAAAAAATTGTAAAAAAAAGTTAAAAAAATTTAAAAAAAAAAAATTTTTTAAAAGGGTTTAAAAAAAAAAAAAAAGGGGGAAAAAAAATTTAAAAAAAAAAAAGGGGAAAAGGAAAAAAAAATTTTTTTTTCCAAAAAAAGGGGGGGGAAAATTTTTTTTTTAATTTTAAAAAACCCTTTAAAAAAAAATTTTTTTAAAAAAGGGGCCCCAAAAAAATTTTTAAAAAAAAAAAAATTTTTTTTTAAAATTTTTTAAAAAAAAATTTTAAAAAAAATTAAAAAAAAGGGTTTTTTAAAAAAAAAAAAAAAATTTTTGGGAATTTTAAAAAAAATTTTTTTAAAAATTTTAAATTAAAATTTAAAAAAAATTTTGGGGAAGGGGCCCCCCCCCTTCCCAAAAAAAAGGGGGAAAAAAAAAAATTTTTTTCCCCGGGGTTTCCCAAAAAAAAATTTTTTAAAAAAAGGTTTTTCCCCCCCCCCCCCCCCAAAAAAAAGTAAGGGAAAAAAAAAAAAAAAGGGAAAAAAATTTAAAAAAGAATTTAAAAATTTTTTTTTTTATTTAAAAAAAAAATTTTAAAAAAAAAAAATTAAAATTTTTTTTGGGGGGGGGGAAAAAAATTTTTTTTTTTTTTTTTAAAAAAAATTTTTTTGGGTTTTTTTTTTCCCCTTTTTTTGGGAAAAAAAAAGGGGGAAAAAAAAATTTTTTTGGGGTTTTTAAAAACCAAAATTTTTTTTGAAACCCCCAAAAAAAATTAAAAAAAATTTTTTAAAAAAAAAAAAGGGGAAACCCCCCAAAATTTTTTTCATAAATTTTTTTTTTTTTTTTTTTTTTTTGGGTTTTTTTCAACCCTTAAACCCCCCCTTTTTTTAAAAAACCCCCAAAGGGGTTTGGTTTTCCCCCTAAAAAAAAAAAGTTTTAAAAAAAAAAATTTTTTTAAAAAAAAATTTTTTTAAAAAAAATTTTTTTTTTAAAAAAATTTTTTTTAAAAAATTTTTTTCAAAAATTTTTAATTTTTTTTAAAAAAAAATTTTTTTCCCTTTTTTTTTTTAAAAAAAAAAAATTTTTTTTTTTGGAAAAAAACCCCCCCCCCCCCCCAAAATTTTTTTTTTTGGGGGGTTTTTTAAAAAAAATTTTTCCTTTTTTAAAAAGGGGGGGGTTTTTTTTTTTTAAAAAAAATTTTTTTAAAAAAAAATTTTTAATTTTAAAAAAAAGGGGGTTTTAAAAAAAAAAAAATTTTTAAATTTTTTAAAAAATTTAAAATTTTTAAAAAGGAAAAAAAAATAAAAAAATTGTTAAATTTTTTTTTTTAAAAATAAAATTTAAAATTTTTTTGGAAAAAAATTTTAAAAAAATTTTTTTTTTTTAAAAAAAAAAAAAAAAAAAAAGGTTTTAAAAAATTTTTTCAAAGTTTTTTAAAAATTTTTAAATTTTTTAAAATTTAAAAATTTTTTTTTTTTTTATTTTTTGGCCCTTTTTTTTTTTTTTAAAAAAAATTTTTTTTTGGTTTTTTTCCCCCCCAAAAAAACCGGGAAAAATTTTTTTTTAATTTTAAAAATTTTTTTTTAATTTTTTTAAAAATTTTTTAACAAAAACGGTATTTTAAAATTTTTTTTTTTTAAAAAAAATTAAAAAATTTTTTTAAACCCCAAAAAAAAAAAAATTCACGGGGGGCCGCAACTTTTTTTTTTTTTTTTTTTTTTTTTTTTTTTTTTTTTTTGTTTTTTTTTTTTTAAAAAGGAGAGAGAAAAAAAAAAAAAAAAAACCAAAAAAAAAAGGGGAAAAAAAAAAAAAAAAACCCCAAATTTTTTTCCCCCCCCCAAAAAAAACCCCCAAAATTGTTTTTAAAATTTTTAAAAAAAGGGGGAAAAAATTTTGTAAAATTTTTTCCCCCTTTTTTTAAAAAAAATTTTTTTTTTTTAATTTTTTTTTTTTTAAAAAAACCAACAAAAATAAAAAAAAAAAAATTTTTTTTTAAAAAAACAAAAAAAAAAAAAAAAAAAATTCCCAAAAAAATTTTTTAAAAAAAAAAAAACCCCCCAATTTTTAAAAAAAACCCCCTTTTTTAAAAAAAAAAAAAAAATTTTTGGAAATTTTGGGGAAAAATTGTTTTTAAAAAAATTTAAAAAAAATTTTTTTAAATTTTTAAAAAAATTTTAAAAAAATTTTTTTTAAAAAAAAATTTTTTAAAAAATTTTTTAAAAAAAAAAATTTTTTTTGGTTTTTTTAAATTTTTTTCCTTAAAAAAATTTTTTTTATTTTTTAAAAAAAAAATTTTTTTTTTTTTTCCTTTAAATTTAAAAAAATTTTTTTTTTTTTGGCCCCAAATTTTAAAAGAAAAAAAGGGGAAAGGGGAAAATTTTTTCCCCCGGGGGCCAAAAATTTTTTTTAAAAAAATTTTTTTAAAAAATTTTTAAACCTTTTAAAATTTTTTTTTTTTTTGGGGGTTTTTTTTTAAAAAAAAAAAACCCCAATTTTTCCCCCCCTTTTTTTTTTTTTTTTAAAAAAAATTTTTTTTAAAAAAAAAAAAAAATTTTTGGGAAAAGGTTTCCCAAAAAAATTTTTAAATTTTTTTAAAAAAATTTTTTAAAAAAAAAAAAAAACAAAAAAAATTTTTTTTTTTTTTTAAAAAAAATTTTTTTTTAAAATTTTTTTCCCAAAAAATTTTTTTTTTTTTTAATTTCCCCTTTTTAAAGGGGGTTTTTGGGTTTTCCCAAAACCCAAAATTTTAAAAAAAAAATTAAAACCAAATTTTTTTTTAAAATTTTTTGGGGGGCCCCTTTTTTAAAAAAAAAAAATTTTTTTTTTTTAAAATTAAAAAAATTTTTTTAAAAAAAAAAAGGGTTTTAAAAAAAAATTTTTTCCAAAATTTTTTTAAAAATTAAAAATTTTTGGGGGGGAAAGGGGAAAAAAATTTCCCCCCTTTTTAAAAAAAAATTTTAAATTTTTTTTTTTTTTTTTTTTTTAAAAAAAAAATAATTTTTTTTTTTTTTTTTTTTACTTTTTTTCAATATAAAAATTTTTTTTTTTTTTGGGGGGAAAAAAAAAAAAAAATTTTTCCCTTTTAAAAAAAAAAAAGGGGAAAAAAAAACCCCAAAACCCAAAAATTAAAAAACCCCGTTTGGGGAAAAAAATTTAAAGTTTAAAAAAAAAGGAAAAAATTTTCCTTTTTTAAAAAGGGGGCCCCTTTTTAAAAATTTTTTTTAAAAAAATTTTATTTTGGGAAAAAAAAAAAATAGGAAAAACCTTTAAAAAATTTTTTTTTCCAATTTTTTTAAAAAATTTTTTTTAAAAAAATTTTTTTTTTTTTTTTTTTTTTTTTTTTTTGAAAAATTTAAGGAAAAAAAAATTTGGGAAAAAAAGGGGGGGAAAAAAAAATTTTTAAAAAAAAAAATTTTTTTAAATTTAAAAAAATTTTTTTTTTTTTTAAAAGGGTTTAAACCCTTTTTTTTTTTTAAAAAAAAAATTTTTTTTTAAAAAATTTTTTTTTCGTAATTTTTTTTTTAAAAAAAAAAAAAGGGGGGTTTTTTTTTAAAAAAAAATTTTTTTTTTTTTTTCCCCCCTTTTTTAAACCTTAAAAGGGAAAAAAATTTAAAATTTTAAAAAAGGGGCAAAAATTTTTTTTTAGGTTTTAAAAAATTTTTAAAAAAAAAATTTATTTTTAAAAAAAAACCAAATTTTTTGGTTTTCCCCTTTTAAAAAAAATTTTTTTTTTGGGTTTTTTTTT